TACCAGATATCAGATACAGCCCAGAAATACCTCTGCTATGTTGTATCAAAATCGGTTCAGATTTAGATATAGCTCTCATATATATCTCCAACCGATTTCGGGTTAATTGTTCACCAAATGGCCAATATCTATTTGAAATCCTTGAATTTTGGCAAATTCAACTTCAGTCTAGAAGCAAGTACGTCAAATTTGGTGGAAATCGATTCAGATATAGCTATAGCTCCCGTTGCATCCGATTGGGGTTTTAAGATATTTGATATGAGATACAGCCCACAAATACCGTTACTAAGTTGTATCAAGATCGGTTCAGATTTGGATATGGCTCCCATATATATCTCCAACTGATTTCAGGTTAATTGTTCCCCGAATGACCAATACCTGTCCAAAAGTCCTGAATTTTCTTAAATCCGACCGAATTCAGTCTAGAAGAAAGTACATCAAATTTGGAGAAAATCGGTTCAGATATAGCTATAGCTCCCATATATATGTTTCATCCGATTTGGGGTTTTAAGTCCCTCACATGCGTAATATGCATTCGATAACAATGATATTTGGTGCAAGCTATCAGATACAGCCCAGAAATACCTCTTTGGAGAAAATAGGTTCAGATATAGCTATAGCTCCCATATAAGCTTCATCCGATTTGGTTTTTATATCCCCCACATTCGTAATATGCACCCCATAAGAAAGATGTTTGGTATCAGACACAGCCCAGATTTGGGTTAATTGTGCACTAAATGGCCAATATAAGTCCAAATTACTGAATTTTGACACATCCCACCGAATTCAGTCTAGAAGATAGTACATCTATATAGGCTTCATCCAATTTGGTTTTTAAGTCCCTCACATGCGTAGTATGCACTCCACTCAATGTTTGGGCCTACGAACTCATTACAGTTGAAGGGAAACTCGACTGGAACTGTGAATACCCTAGGTGAGCAGGTAATGCATATAGTTCAAGCGTAGAGTGGGGTCGAGAATAAGATGCTGAAAATCTGACGCTGAAAGGCAGACTTGCTAATAGTCGATTTCCACGCAATGTTCTTAGGTAACCATTTAGGGGATATGCTTAATTCCCTGGTTTACTTCGATCATGATTGATCAGGGGAAGCTAAAAAGAGTTGTTGGAATGGCCAGGCGTGCTTTGTGGATTGATTGGGGCTTGAACAGGCTCTCTTTTTATGCTTGTGTAAGTTATTGTGCACCTCTGTGATATAAACCCGGTGCATCTGCGTTGGGTCGTAAAAATCTCCTGTCATGTCTACGTGTCGTCACGTTAGCCTGTGTGCAAGACTGTATTCACTGATGCCACTGCAGTATGCAACTGGCTCAGCCCTTCTGATCTGGTAGATGGGGATATTAGGCTGTACAAGGTACTCCTTCGGGAATTCGTTGTTGATAGGTGACGGACAAGGTGGACAGGCAGTGACGTACGAATTAATTCGCGACGCACCATTCGTACTGGACCGGTCAGATTTTCGCTTTGGCTAAAGTACTGGTTTCTTATTGACGAGGCGCGGCCCTCTCAATACGTTTTTGCAAAAGAGCGGTCTTTCCCAGACTAATTTGTGGTGTGGGATAACTTGGTGCATATACTGATGGAATGCCGTACTAAACAAAAAGACAACAGCCATCATTCAAAGAAGTGGAAAATTGTCCTGAAATTTGAGTAGCGCCTTTCAACTTCAAACGATCGCAAATATCTCGAAAACTAACAGACTTACGACTTTCGGTGGGGTGGGTTTTCATTAGGGTTCTTGAAGACAATGGGAAATTTAGATGTTTAGCCGGTTGAAACTTGGATCTTGGGACGAATATTGGTGTTTTCTACTTGTACCACGGGTGCCCCTAGATCTAGCCTTACACTTGGTGTTGGCCACCTTGTAGGTAGTATAGCGGTGATTGTGGTTTATACCAAAATCACGGGGAGAGTGTGTTGCTCGAATATGGAGTTGCATTTTCGACTGGGTGCCTGACCTGAATTTAAATAGGCTCCGCTCCTAACCATGCAGGTGACCAGATCCCTGGATCTAGCCTCACACTTGGCGTTGGTCACCTTGTAGGTAGTATAGCGGTGGCTGTGGTTTATACCAATATCATGGGGAGAGTGTGTTGCTCGAATATGGAGTTGCATTTTCAACTGGGTGCCTGACCTGAATTTAAATAGGCTCCGCTCCTAACAATGGAGATGACCACGTCCATATACGTGCGGTCGAACAGATACTCATTTTTATGGGGTTATTGTTATACGCAGACCACTGTATGACCGCAAAGTAGGTGTTCACATTAAACCACTCAAGGTCATCTCACTCCGATGGATATTGATCTGGATGGCCTTGATAATTGGTCCCGCAGTATGTGAGCTTTTTCGGAGACTTTGAACTTTTTTACGGCTCTCTCCTCGGTGCTACTTTGGGACTGCCAGTCTCTGAATTTTTTTGGTCTGTTCATACTCGTGTTGGCCTTTAGCGAATTAACTGTCCGTTAGGATAATCATAGCAGTTGGTCTTGAGTTAATAACAAATTAGTTCAGAGCCTCTGTGATTGTTTGGATTACCGCCTGGAGAACCGTAATGCGGTTCGGGAAGCGGAGAGTGATTTCGGTTTCCAGGTCTGCTATAATGAGTACAGTCCAACGTTCCTGAATTAATCCAATATGTTTGTTACCTTTTATTATTTTGTCCATCAAAGCATTTGTTGTCATCTCACGTCGATGGAGATTGATCTGAAAGACCCTTAGCTTTGATTCTCACGCATACAAGCTTCTTGGGAGTCGCTGATGCTGCTCTCAAAAATTCTGGTCAAAAATTTGTAAAATTTAAATGGCCAACTTTGTTGTAATTTTCGCCTATGTTGATATCTGGTATTTCTACCATGCCTTCGGAAAACGTGTATAAAAATTGGTCGGAAAGTTTTGAATCCAAACTGAATTCAGCTGGCAACTCTCTCAACTCTCCACTTAAGTGTGACGGAGCGAAATATGTGAACATGAAGTATTTAAATGAGAATTGTTGTAGCAACTAGACTCAAAGTTCTAGTCACAGCGAAGAAGTCAGACAAAACAAATGCCCCCTATTGGTAAAGTGGACGACACAATAGTTGTAGAGCGGACAGAGACCACAGACCACTGTAAGTCAAGCGTGCTGTAATGGCCGGGACATGTGAACCAACGAAACGGCTCTTCTGTACGAAATAAATCGAAGTGCAACATCGTAACTCTTTTGGACACAACATAAATATGAAAAAAGCAACGAATCGAAGACATTTCAAATCGATTGAATGAAAAAAAAACAGACACTCGAAAAGTAAAACAAATAGAAAACAAGTAAAAAAACAGTACGTTCGGCTGGGCCGATCTTCGAATACCCTCCACCATTTGCAACGAATTTGGCATATTTCAAAAAAAAAAAAAAAAACAAGTAAAAAAGCTGTAAGTTCGGCCGGGCCGAACTTTTAATACCCTCCACCATTTGGTACAAATTTGGCAATTTCCAAAAAATAAAACCCGTTAAAAATTCTGTTAAAATCTTAAAAATACCGAATGCTTATACGACGACGTGGGCCTGCATAGGCAACTTTTGTCATAAATTATTACAATATTTAAATGCGAAACTTGAAGAAAAATCTGTTTATAATGTAGCTAAAATCGTCAAAATACCGAATATGGGGGGAAGCGTTATATGGGGGCTATACGAAGACGTGGACCTGCACAGACAATTTTCTGGCATGGGCTGAAGTATCCATTACGAACTTCACATACGAAATTTGAAACAATTCCGGTAAACAATGTCGCTAAAATCATCAAAATACCGAATATCGGGGGGTACCGTTATATGGGGGCTATATAAAGACGTGGACCTACATGGCGCATCCTTTGACTTTGGATGAAGTATCCATTACGAACTTCCAATACCAAATTTGAAACAATTCCGGTAAACAATGTCGCTAAAATCATCAAAATACCGAATATCGGGGGGTACCGTTATATGGGGGCTATGTGAAGACCTGGACCTGCATAGTCAATTGTCTGTCCTAGGCTGTAGTATCCATTTCGAACTTCAAAAACCAAATTTGAAACGATTCCGGTAAACAATGTCGCTAAAATCATCAAAAAACCGAATATCGGGGGGTACCGTTATATGGGGGCTATACGAAGACCTGGACCTGCACAAACAATTTTCTGTCCTAGGCTGTAGTATCCATTTCGAACTTCAAAAACCAAATTTGAAACAATTCCGGTAAGTAATGTCGCTAAAATCGTGAAAATACCGAATATCAGGAGGTACCGTTATATGGGGGCTATACGACGACGTTGACCTGCACAGACAATTTTCTGTCCTAGGCTGTAGTATCCATTTCGAACTTCAAAAACCAAATTTGAAACAATTCCGGTAAATAATGTCGCTAAAATCGTGAAAATACCGAATATCAGGAGGTACCGTTATATGGGTGCTATACGAAGACCTGGACCTGCACAAACAATTGTCTGTCCTAGGCTTTAGTATCCATTTCGAACTTCAAATGTCAAATTTCAATCAATTCTGGTGATTAATGCCGCTAAAATCATGAAAATACCGAATATCGGGGTGGTACCTTTGTATGGGGGCTATACGAAGACGTGGACCTACATGGCCCATTTTCAATACAAAAAGTCCTGCATACATAATATACATTTGAGTAAAATTTTATCAACCTACTTCATTTCGTTCGGAAGCCAGAGTGACGGACGGACATCTCTAGATCTTCTTGGAATAAATATACTTCTTTAGGGTCTATTATGAACATTTCGAGGAGTTACAAACGGAATGACAAAGCTAATATACCCTCCATAGAATGGTGGAGGGTATAAAAACAGACACTCGAAAAGTAAAACAAACAGAAACAAAATACGAGTGGTGGTGATGGCGGAGTTGTTTTTTGTGGCAAAACAAAATCCCAACGACAATTGAGGGCAGTGGACGTCAACGTCGCCGCGTGGCAGAACACGAACGCTCCCGCCTTAACCGCAATTACCAATTCGAATTGTAATCATAAACCACTCAGTCATTGAAAACGTGTGGAGGAGACTTCAATGTGGCGGCGCTGTAACTCTTGTTTTCATAACTTCGTTGGAAACCCTCAAAGTCGGCGGCGATCGGCAGGCCAACTTCTGTTGCAATCACTTGATGGAGAACAACGTTAGCAGAACAACATTTGATTGGTATGAACGTCAACGTTGTCAACAATGCGCTCCTCAAACGCAATAGCAATAGGCAGAGCGTAGAAATAGTCAAACCTCAGCCAAGCAAACAACTAGCCCCCGACTGTCAGCAGCCGCATGTCGTCAGGTTTTCGTGCGGTTTCATTCATTCGTTGAAAGATCATTGCAAACGTTTCATGTTGCAAAGCCGAAAGCTGGGTGACGCGCAAAAATTGTTTTTTCTCCCAATCGCGTTACAAGCAGCCTGACTGACACCTAACAAGTAGCTCACAGCTCAACAATTTTGTCACGCTGGCGACCAGCATCAATCGGAAACGCGTGTACTACTAGCTAACGAGCGCGGCTATCAAATAAATCGCTAGAGCTTATTAACTCTTCTTCTTCTTCTTCATCATTATCGTCAACGTCTAGTGGCGCAAGTGATCCGTAATCTCAAAGCGTATGATAGGCCATCATCGCTTTTACGGTGATCGATACATTGTGGTTTTTATGGCCATTTTTAGTCGCGGTGAAGCCGAAAGTGTCGTCTGTAATCGCGCAAAGCTTTATAAAGCTGAAATATAAAAACTAAGCGACCACTTTTTGTCAAAGTGAGGCTTGTAATGAGCATCATTAGGTTCGGAAATAAAAATCAAAATAACAACTCGAGATCAGCGAGCGCGTTTATTTTTCGAAATAAAATTCAATAACCATAACGTGTGACGTTTTAACGTCCGGACGCTCAACAACAAATAAAAATGTAAGAAGCCATGTTACCAAAAAAAAATAAATAAAAAAAAAAAAAAAAAAAAACGAAAAACACAATCAAAACAAAACATTTGATAAATGAAAGTGAAACTCAAACACGGAATTGAAACAAATTTGTGAAACACAAAACAGAAACAAATTGAAATTTATGACCGCTCTTTTTGAAAATGAAGCATGTAATTAAGCCTATCAGTCGGCAAACATCTCGATGGGCTTCGTATTGCGCTGGTTGGCCGACGGGCGTTTTTTAAAAGCATCGTAAATAAAATGCCTGGTTTTTTGATTCAAAATCAATAAAATACATAAAACAAACAGTGAATGAGTGACCAGCCCACTCAATAAAAAATTTTGAAATTTATGGGAAAATTCAAAAAAATAAAATTCAGTGATTTTTTTTTTTTTTTTGGAAATTAAATTTACCATAAAGCTATAATTTCAAGCTTTTAAAAAGATTTTTCCTCAAGATTAGAAAAAAACCCATGAAATAAACATAAATTTATAAAATCAAAATTATTTTGTTCTTGAGGAAAAACAATAAGAGGTTAATTGAATTTTTGATAAAAAAATAGTTTTGAAAAAAGAACATAAAATTTAAAATGGCTTTGAAGTGGAAAGAAATGGATAAAATCACAAGTGTTTTATTTTTTACGACAAAGAAAATCCGTAAAATTGCGCTGGGGAAATGTCAGTTTATTTAGAAATTTTGAAGGAACCGCTGCTCAGTCTTAAAATAATATTTAAAATTATTAAAAAAAAAATAATAATAAATGCTTACTTTTTGATTCAAAATTAATAAAATACATAAAAGAAAGGGTGAATAAGAGGTCAGCCCACTCAAAAAAAAAAAAAAAAAAAAAATAAAATAAATAAATAAATAAAATAAATAAATAAATTGAAATCTAAGGTTAAATTTTGAGAAAAAAATCATTTTTTTGGATTTTCCTCAAGATTAGAAACAACCATAAAATAAACATTAATTTATAAAATCAAAATTATTTTGTTCTTGAGGAAAAACAATAAGAAGTTAAGTGAATTTTTAATAAAAAAAGTTTTGAAAAAAAAAACATAAAATATAAAATGGCTTTGAAGTGGAAAGGAATGGATAAAATGACAAGTGTTTTATTTTTTTTACGACAAAGAAAATCCATAAAATTCCGTTGGGGAAATTTCAGTTCAATTAGAAATTTTGAAGGGATTTAGACCGCCGCTCAGTTCTAAAATAATATTTAAAATTAGAAATTATTAAAAAAATAAATGCTTACTTTTTGACTCTGAGATCAATAAAACACATAAAAGAAACAGCCAGCTCACTCAAAAAAAAATAATAATAATAATAATAATAACAATAATACATAAATAAATAAATTGAAATTTATGGTTAAATTTTTGAGAAAAAAATAATTTTTTTTTTAATTTTTCCTCAAGATTAAAAAAACCATGAAATGAACATAAATGTATAAAATCAAGATTATTTTGTTCTTAAGGAAAAACAATAAGAAGTTAATTGAATTTTTGATTAAAAAAAAAGTTTTGAAAAAAGAACATAAAATTTAAAATGATTTTGAAGTGGAAAGAAATGGATAAAATGACAAGTTTTTTAGTTTTTACGACAAAGAAAATCTCTAAACTTCCGCTGGGGATATTTAAGTTTATTTAGAATTTTTGGAGGAACTAAGACCGCCGCTCAGTTCTAAAATAATATTTAAAATTAAAAAAAAATAATAATAAATGCCTACTTTTGGATTCAAAATCAATAAAATACATAACAGAAACAGTGAATAAGTGGCAAGCCCACACAAAAAGAAATCATTTTTTTGGAAATTATTATTATTTATTTATTTTTTTTTTGGATTTATGAATTTTTGATAAAAAAAAAGTTTTGAAAAAATAACATAAAATTCAAAATGGCTTTAAAGTGGAAAGGAATGGATAAAATTACAAGTGTTTTATTTTTTACAACAAAGAAAATCCGTAAAATTCCGCTGGGGAAATTTCAGTTCAATTAGACATTTTGAAGGAACTAAGACCGCCGTTCAGTTCTAAAATAATATTTAAAATTAAAAATTATTAAAAAAAAAATAATAATAAATGCTTACTTTTTTGATTCAAAATAAAAAAAAAAAACAAGTAAGCAAAGGCTACAGTCGTGCGGGGCCGACCGTTGAATACCCTACAACACTATAATAAACCATACAGTTTATGTAGGCGAGATACTCGAAAGAATTCCACAAGATGTGACAAATAATAAAAGAAAACCAGGTTTCGTCAGGTTTCGTTCTCTAATTTTCGAAAAATTGCAACTTAAACGAATTTGCTTATTTCCAATTTATTGGTAGATGTTGCACGTAAATGGTCTTCCTAGATCTGGAACCAATATTTCCCAAAGACCTATAATCTCTCAGAAGTGGCAAAAGATTAACATTTATTATTGGTTTTTGACTGAAACGCATCTATATGAGATACAGACATTTGACAATATTCTTCAAAGAAATAGTCAGAAGTGCATCTTTCCTGCATTTGTGAATTCTCCAAAAAGCCACAGGAATGGATATTTTCGTATTTTGTCTACAAAACTTGGCAAACTATTTCACACATTGAATATTTTTGGATGGCCATCCAAAACTATTTGGCTTTTGCAATGTCCGGTAACCTCCATTCCATTGCGCGTGAGGATCGGGCGATAATTACGACTTGCTGACAATTTTGCAGTTTTTTTGGTCCATTTCAACCCCTAAATATATGGCGATCATCTCCAAAAAGAGAAGGCTCCTATTCTGACCCTCATCTTATCCCCATGCAAAATTTCGTAAGGATCGGGCCATAAATGCGATCTGTATATGATATCCTGATATCCCAAATACTTAGTTTTGTTAGCTGTAGAAAAATTACCAAATGTTTAATTCAAAATGAAAATATGCCAAAAATATGACAAAATTGAAAAAAATATGAGAAAATTTTACAAAATCAATATTTTCATCTTTAGAGAGATATTTTTATGCTATTTTTAGACGTCTTTCTTTTTCCTGCCAAGAGGCCATTCTGAATTAATGAGAACTGTCGAAATCAGTTCAGCCGTTCTCGACATATAAGAGATCTTTCAAGCATATCTTCTTTGATAGACATATATATCGCACATATTTTGCTGTATATCCGATTTGATGGATGTTAACATGAATGTAAAGATCAGAAGTAACCTTGTCATGGCTTTTGATTTCGGCGGGATTTAAAATATTCGCGGTTTAATGAAAAATTTTGAATTTTTTCAACACAAAAGATATGATCTATTTTACCTGCTAAATATTATCCGATTACCACCCAAATTGGTAGGCTTCTTCCCCGCCCTAAACTCTAGCTACATGCGCAATTCCGCGTCGATTGGTCTATAATTGCGACCTGTATAGCTACTGCAAAATCCGACATTTTTTCAGTATTTGGTCCATTTCAACCCCTAAATATTATGCGATCATCTCCAAAAGAAATAGGGTTCTATTCTGACCTTAACCCCACCTACATTCTAAATTTCGTGAAGATCGGGCCATAATTGCTGTAGAGTGATTACAAATTAACATGGACAGACGGACGGACGGACATACATAGCTAGATCGACTCAGCTCGGCGAGCTAGGAAGATCCATATATACTTTCCTATATGGGAAACCAATATTTCGAGGTGTTACATAAATTCTGGCCCAATCAAACTTATAATACCCCCAACACATAGTGTTGTAGGGTATAAAAATACATAAAAGAAACAGGGAATAAATGGCCAGCCCAGATGGATAAAAGAAAGAAATGGATAAAATGACAAGTGTTTTAGTTTTTACGACAAAAAAAATCTCTAAAATTCCGCTAGGGAAATTTCAGTTCAATAGACATTTTGAAGGGATTAAGACCGCCGCTCAGTTCTGAAATAATATTTAAAATTAGAAATTATTAAAAAAATAATAATAAATGCTTACTTTTTGATTCAAAATCAATTAAATACATAAAAGAAACAGTGAATAAGAGGCCAGCTCACTCAAAAAAAAAAAAAAAAAAAAAAAAATAATAATAAATAAATAAATAAATAAATAAATAAATAAAAAAGAAATAAATTGAAATTTGTGCTGAAATTTTTGAGAAAAAAATATTTTTTTTGGAAATTATTATTTTTTTTTTTTTAATTTTTCCTCAAGATTAAAAAAACCCATGAAATAAACATAAATTCATAAAATCCAGATTTTTTGTTCTTAAGGAAAAACAATAAGAAATTAATTGAATTTTTGATAAAAAAAAAGTTTTGAAAAAAAAAAAAAAAATAAAATAAAATTTAAAATTGCTTTGAAGTGGAAAGGAATGGATTTTATCCATTCAAGTGTTTTATTTTTTACGACAAGGAAAATCTCTAAAATTCCGTTGGGGAAATTTCATTTCCATTAGACATTTTGAAGGGATTAAGTGCCCCGCTCAGTTCTGAAATAATATTTAAATTTAGAATTTATTAAAAAAATAATAAATGCTTACTTTTTGATTCTGAAATCAATAAAATAAATAAAACAAGCAGTGGGTGACCATTCAATACAAAAAAACTTAAATTTATTAAAAATTTTTGGAGAAAAAATCAGTGTTTTTTTTTTTTTTTTTTTGGAAATAAAATTTCTATTTCAATTTCGTAATATGAAGCCTTATAAAAGATTTCTCCTCAAGATTAGAAAAAAAATGAAATAAACATCAATTTATAAAATAAAAATTTTTTGTTCTTGAATTTTTGATAAAAAAGAAAAGAACATTAAATTTAAAATGGTTTTGGAGTGAATAAAATTACAAGCGTTTTTTACGAAAAAAAGTTAAATTTCTTTAAGCAATTTTCAGTCGAATTAAAAATGTGAAGGGATTAAGATAGCCAAAAAAAAATAAAAATGGATAAAATGACAAACGTTTTTTTACGGAAAAAAATTTAAATTTCTTCAAGCAATTTTCAGTCAAATTAAAAATGTGAAGGGATTGAGATAGC